AACCTTTAATTAAAAAGAAATCACATTCCTGAAATCACTCCCGTATATATTGAGCGTCCTCTTTATTATTGGTTGGTAATCAGCGAAGGTCAGCCAATGAGACATCAGTGTGAGCTAAGTGGCTGACTTGACTCCTTACCCGCAGCCAATCTGTATTTCTTAGCTGTGGTAAGGGGAAAGGGAACAGATAAGAGGACAGTGATTGGTTATTGGGTGGAGTAAGGTCAACAACTCAACTCATACTGATCTCTCATTGGCTGAGCTGTGAATATTTGCGCACTATCTCAAATCCTGATGTATATTTAAATAACTGGAGGTTTTTAGTATCACTCCAATGACCATTGGATGCAAGCCTACCTGCCATGTCAAGGCAAACCTCATAGGGGAGTCCTACACTAACAATTCACCATGCTTTCTTCTGCTTCAGTAAAAAAATAAATAAATCTCTAACGACACAGAGAGGGGTATTTTCTAAACCCTTACATACTTATTAACTTTTAATAGGAAACACATGGGGTGGGTGGCAGCATTTGTTTATCCTCTTTGTAAATTCCAAATTCCTGGGTATATGACATGTAAGTCACAAAAAAACTGTGTATATACAAGGCACAGGGGTTGAGAACAATGCTGTATATACAAAAGAACATCTAAAAACACAAGATAATAGATTATAATATTTGAAGTTCATAAAAACAGGAGACCTACTACCTGTTATATCCTGGAATGAAAACAACATAAAGATAATGAACTGTGCTAATAAAATTACACAAAATACAGTTAAAGGAACAGTGCACACACAAAAAAACTAAACACAGTTTTAAATTTTACAAGGCAACTTAACATCACTTATCTTAGCCTAAGCGAGTGGAAGAACATGACATGCCTTAACCCCCCTTGCAATTATTCAATGAGGATGACCAGGGCCGCCATCAGGGGGTGGCAACCATAACACTGTATGTATGTGTCTTTATGTCCTCATGCATGTGTGTCTGTATGTATGTTAGTATGTGTCTGTCTGTCACTATGTATGCCTGTGTGTATGTCTCAGTATGTGTGTGTCAGTATGTATGCCTGTGTGCGTGTATGTCTGTTTCAGTATGTGTGTCTGTTAGTATGTATCTGTGTCCTTTTGTATCAGTGTGTGTGTTTGTGTCTGTGTGTGTATTCCTGTGGGCGGTATTTGGAGGCAGACCCAGTGGGCCTTATTTGGAGGTGGGCCCCAGACCCTGAGCTGAGTTAGGGGCCCCAAAATTTCTGGTGGTGGCCCTGAGGATGACCCATATGCGCCACCTAGGTTATCCGTTATGAATGAGTGGCAAGCAGAGCATTCCATTTCTAAGGAGGAAGATCACTGGAAGCATACACCACACGGAGATTTACAATATGTGAAGGAATCCATTGTTGGACACTCATTCAATGGGTGAAATCTCTTCATATTGCAGTGGAGGATGATGAGACATTTCAGGATAATCTATTATTTTACCCGCACTACATCTGTCGCTCAAGGTCTTCTGAGTGGTCTCTCCCAGAACATCTGAACAGGTTTGCTCACTTTTGGTGAGGAAAGCCTTTGGAGTGGGAGGTGAGGAATCACCTCAGGGCCGAATGTCCGAGACCCTCACTCCTGGATAAAATATCCCAGACCCAAGAATGTTCACCAGCCTTACAGCCACCATTGTAGTTTTCACGTTCCAGACAGGATGGGATCCCAGGAAGGGAATTGAGAAGGGATTAAAGGCCATGCAGGATAACCTCCTCGACATGCTGGGACCGCTGGCGAAGATGCTCTCTATTGCTAAATTCGCCTTGACACAGGGTACCCAACTTGACCCTAATAGTATTAGAGAATGGGCCCTGCTTTCTAGCTGCGTACTAGGAAACACAAACACTGTGATCTAATATGTAAAGCAGCCTTACTGCATTGACTTGAAACTCTGAGACCTGGGCTCCAAACAACTGTGACTGTTGGCCAAAGGCCTACTATTCAGAGAGTCATTAATAAAAGAATTACAGAAACACTTCAATTTATTTACAAAACTCAACAAATCACAAACATCTATGAAACATGTTTCAACCATCTTCCACGCGTGTGTCAGGAACGTTCGGGAATCCTACACGCAGAATGCAAATACTGTATACCGGACCTTAGGATGGCCGGACTAACACTACACACACAAAAAGAATAGTCAAATAGTGAACCGAGGTCAGGGGTACCAGAAATCAGGATCAACGATAATGTAATAGCCCAGGTCAAAGGAACACAGAAGGAGGAATAGACATACAAAGTCAGAATACCAATATGGAATATACGCTCTTGGGTCAAACAAGAACCACAACAGGGCAATGAGTCTCTCCCTGGTTTCTCTTTTTAAATACGTGTTCACTTAAGTAGGTTACCACGCTCCCAAAATGTTCTCGTTCGAACACCTAGGCCAGCCGTGGCATTCTAGTGTCATGATGTCAGCGCTCATTAGCCATTTCATAAAAGGAGGCGGGTTTATCGCAGCTGGCTTAAGAATCACTAGAGACAAGCAGAAAGTTAGTAGGAGTGTCCCCAGTACCCTGCAATGAGATGCCAGCCTGTGAAATGCCCCTGACTGATACACAAGGTAACCTGATAGTACCCTCCCCCCTCGAGGATCGACCACCGGGCAGTAAGAGCTAGGATGCTTTGGAAACCAAGAGTGTAAAGAATGGACCAAGCGGGGAGCATGAATGTCAGAACCAGCCACCCAGGACCTGTCCTCAGGACAGTATCCCTTTCAGTCCAGCAAATATTGGAGAGAACCCCTAGAAATCCTCCTGGTCCTCCACCTGAACTGGAGAAGGGGGTACCACAGGACTAGTGAACCTGTTACACATCAAGGGTTTCAATAAGGATACGTGGAAAACATCGGGGATGTGAAAGGAGTGAGGCGATTCAATACAATACGCCACAGGCTTGACCCGTTTAACCACCTTAAAAGGACCAATGCTCGGTGCTAATTTCATAGACGGGACTTTAAGGCGGATATGTTTTGTACTCAACCAGACCTTATCACACTCTCAGACATAGGCAATTGAAGTATGAAATCCATGCTTGCCCAAGGTTTATTGTCGATAGGTTGCAGTAACCCACTGTGGCGGACCGCCTGGCATCATGACCGCGTGCCTCTGTCAATCGATGCTCCTAGTGCTCATCAAGTACTTCCAGCACTCCATCAGACACTATCAGTACTGTAGTCCCCACTTCCAGCATTACAGCTTGGTTGGGGTCTTGCTGTCTATCCACCCTAGACCGGGATCCAACTTCCAGTGGGTAGACCTCTCCTCCAAGAGGGTGTAGCAATATGCTAAGTGATTATAATCCCAGGGGAGTATAGTGATATAGCAATCCCCAGGGTAGATCCAGCCGTTTCCCCCACACATGAGATGAGGCTCTATGTTGAGGATAAGCAGGTACTCCTTTGATGGTAGCCTCAACTGGCCTTATATGCAAGTCCCCATGCAAGGTGTACTCCCACTTGGACAAAGTTGTTTATACTCATTTTCCTGGCCCCCACCCTCAGGGTCCGCCTCCCGCCCGGCTCTGGAAGGGGGAAGGGGGAAAAACTTACCTTTTTCTGCTATGTTTATAAAAAAATGGGTTAACCCTAGAAGGACCTGGCACCCAGACCACTTCATTAAGCTGAAGTGGTCTGGGTGCCTAGAGTGGTCCTTTAATCAATATCCTGTTATCCCAATATTTTCTTTTGTCCTGAAGTTTCACAAAAACCCAAGAGAACCATCAGGGAGACCCATCATTAGTGGGATTAAATCCATAATGGCACACCTGTCAGAGTTTATAGACCACCATCTGCAGAAATATGCACAGGAGGCACCCTCCTATTTGAGGGACTCCTCCCATATTCTTGAAATTATGGAAAATGTTTAATGGGAAAAGGATTTCATATGGGTAAAAATAGATGTAACTTCATTATACACTGTAATTAAACATGACATGGGGGTCAAAGTTTGACTGTTAATCAGTTCCCCCCACTTTTTACAATAACAGACTAAACAAACTTAACAGGCTAATTCTCGATGGTGAGGGTTAGTATGGGAGTCCAGCACGATATAAGTGTGGGTGATTCTTGTGTCGGTGAGTTCACCGTAGTGCTCCCCGCAGTGTCCAGGAACTCCTTTTGCCCTCCTTCGATTCCCAGCTTAGGGGGAGGTTGCAAAGCTCTCAGTAGGTGATTCCCTGCTGGTGGAAATTCGCCGGTGCGGAGTGCCGCATGTGTGTGCTGCTGTTGGGAGTCACCCTCTTTAGATGCTGTGGGAATCAGTGCCCCTGCACCATGGGCCTTGTTCCGGTTTCCCGCTGCAGCATGTCCCGTGCGCCCCGAACGGCCAGCGCTCCGGTACCTTCTTGGCATCCACCTAGTTTGTAGTGAGTCTCGTAGAGCAGGCACACTGCGTGGAGACCTTGAAGTTGCGTCAGCATCTTGTGAACAGGTATGGAGCTCTAGATCTTTGGGGTAGGCTGTTGCAGATGTGTTCCATTAGTGGTGTGGTGCGGCAACGATCAGATCGTGCAAGAGGAATCCGGCAGAGCTGCGGGCTAGAGCTCCCCTGGTCCTCTCCTGCCTCCCTCCATGCTCCTGTGGGACGGTGAGGTAGATCTTTGATCTCCCCACCGGCCCATGGGGGCTTAGAACAGAGCCGACGCTCAGATAGTGCCGGTTCTGCATCAGCCGACAGGGGAGATCCTGAGATCTCCCCTGCCGGTCTCAATCCATAGGCGTGCCATAGGCACCCCGTGCGCATGCCTATGCATGCAGCAACCCGGAAGTGATCACTCCGGGGGGAGTGATCACCCGGTGTTCTCCGGCGGCCCGGCAGTGAGGGGGGTATTGCAGTCATGCCTCAATATCGAGGCATCACTGCATTACCATTAGAGCTGCTGCAAGCAATCATGATTGCTTCCAGCGCTCTAAGTCCCCGCGGAAGTATCAGGTACGTCCGCGGTCCTTAAGTACCATTTTTTGTCGGACGTACTTGATATGCCCTTGGTCACTAAGGGGTTAAAGGAACACTATAGTGACAAGAATACAGACATTTATTTATTTATATCCTTTTTTTTTACCTCAGCTTTGTGTGGTCAAAGCTCTTCTTCAATACTTCAAAGCTATTGGTCCACTGCAACAGTCTCTCTCAAGTCAACTGCTTGTTTCATACATTAGCCCTCACAAACTGGTCTTTACCATGACTTTGGCGAGATGGGTTCGGTGGCTTCATTCCTTGGTGCGAGTGGACTCACAGTTTGGTGCTCACTCAGTTCGAGGCGCGACTGTGTCACAAGCCTAAACATTGGCACTTCCTTACCCGATATTATGCATTCCGCTGACCAGTCTTGTGAATATACTTTACAGGTATTTTACTTTCGGACTCCTTCTCATGCTTCATTTGCCCTTCTTTCTTAGCGGTAAAAATGCTAAATATTAAGCCTCTTATCATGTAGTAAAATTGTAGATTATGCTAGCTTTAGTGTACTAAAATGTTAATTTTAATAATGACAGGAGGCTAATATTTTCCTTCCCTTCCCCCCGGTTGGAAACCTTTATTTTTGTACCTTTATTTAGGTTGTTATCTATTTTATAATTGTTTTTTACATGCTGTTTTTGTTTCATATTAAAGGACCACTATAGTGCCAGGAAAACATACTCGTTTTCCTGGCACTATAGTGCCCTGAGGGTGCCCCCACCCTCAGGGTCCCCCTCCCGCCCGGCTCTGGAAGGGGAAAGGGGTAAAACTTACCTTTTTCCAGCGCTGGGCGGGGAGCTCTCCTCCTCCTCTCCTCCTCTTCCCCCCCGTCGGCTGAATGCGCGCGCGCGGCAAGAGCTTCTTGCGCGCATTCAGCCGGTCGCATAGGAAAGCATTTACAATGCTTTCCTATGGGCGCTGGCGTGCTCTCACTATGAAAATCACAGTGAGAAGCACGCCTCAGTGGCTGTCAATGAGGACAGCCACTAGAGGATAGGGAAGGCTTAACCCATTCATAATTATAGCAGTTTCTCTGAAACTGCTATAATTATGAAAAAATGGGTTAACCCTAGAAGGACCTGGCACCCAGACCACTTCATTAAGCTGAAGTGGTCTGGGTGCCTAGAGTGGTCCTTTAACTGATCCCAACATTCTGAGTGTTTGTTCGGCATTATTATTCTTACTATTTGAACACGTGTTTATTCTATGATGTTTTGCTTATATTTTGACGTGTTGTTTTTATGCTTTTTACTATGTCCATAAACTTTCAGGTATTTCTCCTTTATTTCACACTAATTTACTTTGGTTCTTCTATTTTTGGAATCTCTTGGAATACTGCTCACTCTTTCATCTGACTTGGAATAATTGTGCATGTTTTATTTTTCTGCTGTATGATTATTGTTATTATCGTTCACATCAAAAAAAGAGGTGGTGCTCATTTGATGCAGGGCTTATATACCGCCCATTGCTTGTTTTTGATTGGTTAACAGTTTTATTCTGATCTGTACTTTAATTGAAGTACAATAAAAAGAGAAATGCTAAATATTCTCCTCCTGTCATTATTAAAATTAAGATTATAGTACCCTAAAACAAGCATCATGTACAATTATTACCTGAAAAACTGTAAACACTGTTTAGATATAATTTTCCTAGCACTGTTCATTACCTTTTATGAGAACAATCCTGTTCCTAGCACCTGTCAGATAGCACTAGGTCTATAGAGGGCAAAATAACTATAAAACAGAGAATATATTGGAAAGCTCTATACAAGAGTGAACTGCCCTACCTAGTAAATATGTATAATTTCATTCTGACACATATCCGTAACAAAGTAAGTTATATATTTACATAATATTTACAATGAATCTCCCTAGCGGCTCAGTGAGTTATTCACAAAAAAATTCTTTATGAAACACTCTGATGGAGTTATCAATTTCCAAGGCTTGTGAAATTCCAACCACATCAATAAATATACAGAGACAAAGTAGGGTCTGTGTATCTGCATTTGTGTTAGTGTGTGTATCTGTATGACTGTGTATCTGCGTGTCATTGTGTGTTCCAGTGTGTCTGTGTATCTGTATGTATTTCATTGTGTGTGTTGTATATCTGTGTATCTGTATGTGTGTCAGTGTTTGTATACGCGTGTTCGTGTATCTGCATGAGTGTCATTGTTTGTTTCTGTTTGGCTTTGTATCTGCATGTGTGTCAGTGTTTGTATCTGTGTGTCTGTGCATCTGTATGTGTGTATTTGTGTGTGTCTGTGTATCTAAATGAGTATCAGTGTGTGTATCTGTGTGTTGTTGTTTGCTTCTGTGTGTTTCTCTGTGCATTTGTCATTGTGTGTGTCTATGTATCTGTATGTGTGCCACTATTTGAATTTGTGTGTGTATCTGTGTGTCTGTATGTATGTGATTGTGTATTTCAGTTTGTCTGTATGTGTGTACATGTGTATATTTGTGTGTCAATGTATGTGTGTATATGTATCTGTATGCGTGTTAGTGTGTGTATACGTGTGTCTGTGTAGCTGCATGTGTGCCTGTGTATGTGTATCAGTATGTGTGTATGTGTGCCAGAGTATATGTGTACACAATATACAGAGATAGATAGATTTTATATACATACATCTGAGCATACAAATACCAAAACTTCTTACAAACACCCCTTGTATTAAAACACCAACATAAACCTAGTACTACACAATTGCACAAATGGATTAAAACACCAACACTACATACAAACACCCCTACATACAAAAGCAAACACTACACATTAGTACACCACTGCTTTCAAATGGCAGTCCATAAAAACACAAAACTGCATACAAATGCCAACACTACACACAAATACACCCTTACATTCACATATACAAATGTCATGCAAAAATATGCTTACATTCAAACACACAAACATATGTCAGTGTTAAACACAACCCTGCAAGGATGAGCAAATGGTAGATCCCCAGCTGGCAAAGCATTAAGGACTAGTATGACAGATTGGGATCTACCATATGGCAATCCTTGCGATTACTTCTGCAACTGAGTGATCTATGTATATCAGTATAGCGATATCTGCCATTAATGTGCCTATTGAACTGCTAAGAAACATACACAGGGTCATTAACACCTACTCCAACAAACACACTTTGATGATTAAATTTCTATATATCAAAAGACTGTATAAAAAACAGGTTGTGGGAAACACTCACAAAGAGAATCATGCAGAATGTATTTCATGGAACAGGTCTTACAGCCTTCTGCATCACCCACATGCAGTACATGAATAGAACCACTGTGCACCATCAAAAATCAAGTCTGTTGATGTGTAAGATAAATGCAGAAAGGTGTATGAATGTGTCTTTTCAAGAGTGGCATTTAAAAGAAGCAGAGTATATAAATGGCTGGATACCACTGACCCTCCAATGACGTTTTGGAATTCAACATGTCTCTATGTCTTTAACCCACTATAGCATTCCAGGGATGCTGGTCAGACTGGAGAGATTGGAAACTTTTGAAATATGAAAAAACATTAATAAACCCATTAGTGCTATTTCTGTTTGCATATGTATTTCTAGCACAAAAACACAACTTTCCAACAGCAAGTTTAAGGAAGTGTCATTTAATTAAAATCCTTGTGATTCATGAATAGGTTGTGATTGATACACTAATTGGAACAGAATTTATACACTCAAAAGCAATTTATCACTCAAAGCAATGAACAGATTATGGTAACTAGTAATAGTATATTTTTTTAGATCAAGTTTGTGAAGTCTACATTTTGAGATAAGGTCATTAAAGGGACACCCAGGCACCATAACAAGCTTGTTGTCAAGCTTGACAAAGACCATCAATTTACTCTACATATTCAATGAGGGGTTTCGCCTGCCCCTGATCCGGTGCATCGTGGTAACTTGGTGAGTGCGGTATCCTCCAGTCAACTAGACTAGCCCAAGCTGAGATAACCCTCTAGTTACCAACACTAATCACAATAGCCACTTTTCTTGGAACAATATCCTGGCCGGGCCTATTTTCATCGCTCATTTTTTATACACGTGACATCACAGGAAGTGAAAAAATTGTGTATGCAAGATTGACAGACTTCCTCGAGTCCAACTCTCTGCTAGACCCGCTTCAGTCTGGTTTCCGCGCTAACCACTCTGTGGAAACGGCACTGACCAAAGTATCCAATGATCTACTTGCTGCAAAATCTCGTGGTCACTACTCTATCCTAATTCTCCTTGACCTGTCTGCGGCTTTTGACACTGTTGATCATCAACAGCTTCTTCTCATACTGGGCAATATCGGTCTACAAGATACTGCTCTCTCCTGGTGCTCCTCCTACCTCTCCCAGTGCTCCTTCAGTGTTTCTTTCTCTGGCTCTGCTTCTTCTCCCCAACTCCTCTCTGTTGGTGTTCCCCAAGGTTCAGTCCTTGGTCCCCTACTGTTCTCCATCTATACTGCCTCC